TTGCTCGCTTTGATAATATTCTGGGTAGAAAAACTATACAGACGATAAAAATGTTGACTACCGAAATAAAGTCGATCTTCTGCCATCCAATCATGGTGGACCGTATCGCTTCCATGCTTAATTATTTATTACTGCAACTGGTAGGACCGAATAAAAAAAATCTCAAGGTAATTTTTAGAATCTGTAAATATTACAATAATCGATAAAAATTATGCTATTGCAATCTCATCTATCTGAAATTTTAGGTAAACGATCAAAAGGAATATGCGTTCAATCCTGCAAATTTGGTGTTAAATATATGCGAGATCTATATTAATCTGAGTAAAAGTGAAAGCTTTACACTCGCCGTGTCTCAAGACGGACGATCTTATAGTCCAGAACTGTTTAAACTGGCGGACAATGTGCTCGGTAAGAGATTTTCTATATATATACATATATATTTTTTTTCTAAAAGGCAGCAGAAAGAATCTAAAAAAATCGTGTGTATATCGTAGTTCGTATCGGTGGTGTGGGAATCTTGGGCGATCTGGATCAATTTGCCAAGAGCGTGGAAGAAGCTGCAAATCAAAAGCGAGAGGAAGATGAGATTTTAACAGATGTTCCCGACGAATTTCTAGATCCAATTATGTCGACTGTTATGACGGATCCTGTTGTTTTGCCATCGTCACAAATAACTATCGATCGTCAGACTATAGCAAGGTACCGGCACACGAATTATATACAGATATTTTTTAACTTGTATACCGCAATATAAAAATTTTATAAATGTATTTCAGGCATTTGCTAAGCGACCAAACTGATCCTTTTAATCGATCTCCACTCACTATGGATATGGTGAAACCGAATGTTGAACTTCAACGGAAGATACAAGATTGGCTCTCACAGAAAAAACTGATTGTCGTTAATTACAAATAAATGGTACACCACGATGGAGCAATGTTGAAATTTACATACGTAATTTCTAAGACAAAAATTGTACGTCATCAAAAATGCACAACGACAACCCTACGATTGCTAAAGTTCGGATTCGTGGCGATCATCATTTAGAATCCATGAAACGAAAAATGCGTGTTTTATCGCATTTTATCGCGTTGTTTCATCGAGATTTTACCGCTCGCTGACGTTCGATTCGCCTACAACGGCAAATAAAAGAAAAAAGCAATTTTGTATACATACTGTGCAATGTAATTATGTACAGGGTTATAAACAAGCATAGAATATACAGTTATACATCGTAATAGTTATTGATTAATAAAATGTTATATACATAGGTGGCATATGATTTTAGGAATCACTGCATCAAAAAGGTAATTGTATATTTCATGTACCGTGTAGAATAAAGTGTGTTATTTATGAACATTGTTTACAATTTTCAAGACTGTGCCGGCATTAATTACTGCAGTTGCATTTTTGTTTCATCCGTTAATAATAACCATCCTTTTTGTTCAAGCAGATTTAATTTTTTTTACATTTTGACTAAATATGTAAAAAACTATATATAAAACATTTTGACTAAAATAACGGGATTTCGTTTTCATAAAAAATATTACATGTCTATAAACATTTTATGAGATCATCAAAGTTTGTGACGAACCATTCCGCGCGTGACTTTACGTTTTCCCTAACTACATTTCCACCGAATCCTGCAAATAAAAAATAATATCTGTAGTAATAATAAACATTTTGATTTGCAGTACAACTTCTATCATTATTTTAACATGAGATAGAATGTTTTAGAGACAATTCCTCAAGTGAATATACACACCTATAAATGCATCCGCTGGTGGTGAGGCTTCTAAATCTGTTGACCCGTCGCCGACATGTACGACGATTTTAAAGCCTTTTTCTTTTTTTATAAGACGTACTACTTCTCCTTTGCCACCGCTCTTAGAAGTCGGCTGAGACTCGTCGAACCCAGCGTATTCCCCTATGACATATTTGCGTATGTATGAATGTGCATTGTACGTTTCATGTGTAAATTATTCCTAAATGTACGGAAAGCTATAAAAATATACTTTGATGCAACCACTTACCCGTGAAAAAAAATTTTAATCTGTTGGCATAAATATTCTCAGGTGGGATGTTAAGTTGCGCCGCGATCGGTGTGATGAGACAGCGGAAACCGCCGGAAACGAGAAACACTTCCTTCCCACGAGCTTGTAAAGCGGACACCAGGTCTCTATAAAATACATTTTGACAATTTTTAAAGATAACGATACACAAGCAAACCCGCGCCCGTTCGTTCTTGTATCTTGAAACATGAACATCTTACTTGATGCCAGGGGTAAATTTTGGTTGATGCGTATTCAGGAACTGTCTCACTTGCGTCAAACTTGGATTTATGATCCCCAGTCTCACAGATAATGATTGCTGAAACGTCATATCACCTTGCATAGCCCGCTTTGTCCTGAAAAATAAAAATGTATTATGCAACACGTGCATGGAAAGTGCCCCATTACGCACGCTACGCGTGCGTGATAGACCACTTTCCAGGCACTTGCAACATAAAATAGGGAGTGTAAGCCGTGTGTAAAGATGAAAATTCCCGGGTGCAGTTACCGCACTCGCCTTCGGCTCGTGCGTAAACTCCGCACCCGGGAATTTTCATCTTACCTCACTTGTTACACAAATAACTATTACGACATTTTTGCGTCGGTGAAAGCGTGTGGAATCCAACAGTCCGTATCGCGAGCAAAGTCAAATAGAAACATACAACTTAGTGATTTCCTCTCCCTTCCCACAGAAATTAGCGAGCTCGTCGATAGCTTCCTCCGTTATGACCGTGGAATCCACATCGAACGTTACAGCGTCCGCAGTTTTCCATATGTTTTTTATATTCTCCAGGCTTGTCATCTAGAAAACACATAACAAAATGTTAGTAAACAAATTTGAAAAAAAAATGAAAAAAAGATGGAAATTAAAAACGAAAGAAGTAAAAAACAGCTCCGCATTGTTTTTATTACTTTCAGAACGGTCAATCTGTAATTTGAGAAAAGGAAACGAGAAGGCAGGATTGTATTTTTCATAGCGGACGATACGAAATTTCCGCCAGAACGTGTCTCGTCCCGCGTGACTGCACATCCGGAGCAATTCCGGCAGCTCGACGTTTCTCTCACGTGATGTCACGGTGACACGTGTCTTAATGCGGTGACGTCGGTGACGACTGACGTCGGTCGTTATCGACGATTGACAATTGCGTATGCGCCAATTGCGACACGCTCGGCTGCTGCGAGTGCCTCGACGAGATAGCAATGACCAGCAATGACTGCCAATGACCGATTATTATTCTTGCGTCATCCGGCAAAAAGCGAAAGATCACGCGTGATAATACGCGGGCACATGACCGAACTATTCGCGTGCAATGTGCATGGAACACGATCAATCTTACCACTAGAGAAATGCAACAAGACACAAGGGACCTGCTGAAATAAATTAACAAGTGGATAAATAGAAAGTGGAGAAAGTATTCCTTAGGAATTCTTAAATCTCATCGATATAGAGAAGTGGTTTAGAGTTGAAATGTTTCGAGAGAAGCGGAAG